CTCCGGCCACATACAAGTCGATAATATGAAAATCAAATGAACGGAAATATAAAAGTACTTGGGTGCAAACTTCAACTATTCCAACATGCTGAGAGACGAAATACAATCTAGAAATAAAGTGTACTATGCCCTTCAACATCTGCTAAAGTCAAAGCATCTGTCTCGCAACACCAAGATCAAAATATATAAAACGTTGAAAAGACCAGTCGTTTTATGTGGCTCTGAAACTTGAAGCAGAAATAAAAAAGATGAAGCCTTATTACAGGTTTTCGAAAACAGTCTTACGACAAATCTTTGGACCCATCAAAGATGCTAAAAGCAGGGAATGGAGAGTGAGAAGCAACAACGTAACACATAATCTGTTTAAATCACTATTGATCACTGGCATCATGAGAGCTAACAGACTAAAATGGTTGGGGCATATTGAAAGAATGTCAGATGACAGAGGAATAAAAACTGTATACACCTGAGAGAGGAATGGGCGTAGACCACGAGGCAGACAAAAAATAAGTTCGAGAGATAATGTCCAGCTAGACCTGCACATTTTGAAGAGAAGGCCAGCCAGAGAGATGAATGGAGATGAGTGATATCTGCAGCAATAAACCTCAAGGGCTCAGAATGCTAAAGAAGAAGATGACTATTCTGTTCTAATTTATGTAAAGTAAAAGTTCAGCGTACATTTGACATTATGAATGTGTTTTTTGTGTGGATATATTTTATACAGTATTCTTATTAGGCCAAATAGTTGGTCCCACTATTTGTATTCGGCTGAATAGTGAAAATCACTATTCGGTACAGCCCTAGTTTTAATTATACTTTTAGGCTATCATCCGAATAACAATCCCAAATTACCGAGGCCGAAAATATACCCTAACAGGGCCTCAGTCACATGTAAATTACAGACTTCTGGTGACCACCGCCTAGAGTATCTCTCGTGGTGCGGAGTGGGGCTAAACTAAATGGCTGGTACTCACGAGCAAATAAAATGAAGGAAGCTGCAGGAGATGCGGTAGCTGCAGCTCATGAGTCCCAGCCATCTAGTTTAGCCCCAGTCCACCCAGCACGTAGCAGCGTGGTAGATACTCTCGTCGGTGGCGGTAGTCACCAGAAGTCCGCAATTTACAAGTGACTGAGGCCCTTTTAGGCATTTTCCACTGTCATAAGATTCTTAGTCACAGTTCTGTGAATTAAGTTCTGGATACCAGTCTGACCGTCACAGCAGTTTTGTTGTTGTCACAGATGTATAAATTGATATAATTATATTCTCTTTAGTATTTTAGTCTTTATGAAGACAAATTTGCTTGATTTTTTTAGATGCACAGTTCTAGTACTAGAGTGGCTGCATCACACAGCAGCCACTATCGTTGCCTTGATGTTCTAGTATTAGAGTGCCTACAGCACACGGCAATGGCTATGGTCACCTTGTTGATCTAGTACTAGAGTTCCTGCATCACGTGTAAACCACTATCATCACCTTAATGATCTAGTGCTAGAGTGCCTACATCACACAGCAACCACTATCATCACCTTGATTATCTAGTGCTAGAGTGCCTACATCGCACAGCAACCACTATCATCGCCTTGATTATCTAGTGCTAGAGTGCCTACATCACACAGCAACCACTATCATCACCTTAATGATCTAGTGCTAGAGTGCCTACATCACACAGCAACCACTATCATCACCTTAATGATCTAGTGCTAGAGTGCCTACATCACACAGCAACCACTATCATCACCTTGATTATCTAGTGCTAGAGTGCCTACATCGCACAGCAACCACTATCATCACCTTAATGATCTAGTGCTAGAGTGCCTACATCACACAGCAACCACTATCATCACCTTGATTATCTAGTGCTAGAGTGCCTACATCGCACAGCAACCACTATCATCACCTTGATTATCTAGTGCTAGAGTGCCTACATTGCACAGCAACCACTATCATCACCTTAATGATCTAGTGCTAGAGTGCCTACATCACACAGCAACCACTATCATCACCTTGATTATCTAGTGCTAGAGTGCCTACATCGCACAGCAACCACTATCATCGCCTTGATGATCTAGTGCTAGAGTGCCTGCATCACACGGCAACCACTATCGTCACCTTGATTATCTAGTCCTAGTGTGCCTGCATCACACAGCAACCACTGTCAGACAACAGATGTAGACTGATCACCATTAGCAACAGTTTCCTGTCTTTAAATGGACAGCATCTTCAGCCTGCCAGTTGACAGTGAGCCATGTTTTTTTTTTCTCACTTATTTAATAGCCAGGACTTGGTGCTTGTTTGATTAGTTCAGTTACTGGTGGTTGTATGGTTAGTTCAGTTACTGTTACTGGTGGTTGTATGGTTAGTTCAGTTACTGTTACTGGTGGTTGTATGGTTAGTTCAGTTACTGTTACTTTTGGTTGTATGGTTAGTTCAGTTACTGTAACCGGTGGTTGTATGGTTAGTTCAGTTACTGTTACCGGTGGTTGTATGGTTAGTTCAGTTTCTGTTACCGGTGGTTGTATGCTTAGTTCAGTTACTGTTACCGGTGGTTGTATGGTTAGTTCAGTTACTGTTACTGGTGGTTGTGTGGTTAGTTCAGCTACTGTTACTGGTGGTTGTGTGGTTAGTTCAGTTACAGTTACTGGTGGTTGTTTGGTTAGTTCAGTTACTGTAACCAGTGGTTGTATGCTTAGTTCAGTTACTGTTACTGGTGGTTGTATGCTTAGTTCAGTTACTGTAACCAGTGGTTGTATGCTTAGTTCAGTTACTGTTACTGGTGGTTGTATGCTTAGTTCAGTTACTGTTACCGGTGGTTGTATGCTTAGTTCAGTTACTGTCACTGCTGGTTGTGTAGTTAGTTCAGTTACTGTTACAGGTGGTTGTGTCATTTGCTCACTTGCTGTTACTCAAACATACTCTCGTGAAATTTTGCCTCGATTAGAGATTTTATTTACAGAGAGTCAAAGTGGAAGAACACAAGAGCAAGCTAGTCAGGCTACAAGAAGGTGTCCCCCAGGGAGGTGTTCTGTCTCCTACCCTGTTTATCCTTTTCATCAATGACCTCTTAAAACAGCTCACAACTCACATTCACAGGGCCCTAAATGCTGATGACCTGGCCATATGAACACAAGCTGAACATAAAGGAACGACTAAAACAGGAATGTAGGAAGCTATTAGTACAGTTAATAAATAGACAGACTCTTGGGGAGTCACAATAAACCGACAAAAACCGTCTCAGCTCTCTTCTCTCTTTCCATAAAGCCAGAATAAGTTGATCTTTACCTAGAAGGCAACATCCTTCCAAAAGAGGATAACCCCACATATTTGGGAGTAAAATTTGACAAAAGACCAACCTTGGTCTACCACCATGAAGACACCCAAAGGAAAGCTTTCCTGAGGCTCAGACTTTTGAAGAAACTTCTGGGACAAGCTGGGACTAACACTGTACGACAAGTATACACAGGATACATACGACCAAAACTGGAGTATGGCATTGGAGCATACTCCACTGCAGCCAAATCAAACCTACACAAACTGGACAAAATACCGAACACTGGTCTCAGAATAATCACTGGAGGTTTGAGAAGCACACTAATTCATGAGCTGGAAACAACTTCTGGTCTGCAAAGCTTGAGCCTTCGAAGGAAAGACAAGGTGCTTACCCTAACAGAAAAATGTAAATTCATGAACAACAAACCCATGCACAGAATAGCAAATAACCTAGCTAAAAACCGACTGAAAAGACAAAGCTTACACTATCTATCAAAATTGTACTACACAAAAAACAGTGACATCCTTTCTAAAGATCCTTCAACATGGGAAATGATCCAGGCGTGCAGCATAGACCTACAGCCTAACTATACAGTCACAACAACAATTCTGGGAATAGACAGAAAGGCTGAAGAATGTAACTTAGTACTGCATGCAAAGACCCTTGAACTTGTCTACAACTATTATCCAAAACCTAAATGGACACATGTATACACCGATGGATCAGGAGGGAGACGCTGGATCGGTCATCATGCTGCAAGATGGGCTCACAGTAGAAAGCCAAAGTGCTTGGAGACAGAAAAATTAAAAACAGCAACATTGTTTTTATAATATGACTCTGTCTAGGTTTTATCTGGATTCATCAGAACTCTAGTCTTTCTTTCCTTGTAGTAAAAAGTTAGTATGAACACGTCAGATGACAAACACGCCCATCGGCAGTTACAGATTTTATTAGCCAATCCAACAACTGTACTGTCTGGTCACTGTTCTGTGTTCTCGTCAATAATACAAGAGCCCAATTACAAATACTGCTTCGGAAACATCACAACTCAAATCTAGATGCAGTTACCTTTTAGACTACATCTTATTCATGAAGGCATCTTGCACTTGCAGTTCCACACAGCCGAATCTTGCAGTTGGTTGACATTCACTCACATCGACACCGCCATGTCTCACAGTGCCCCAAACAACTACATGTAGTCAGGCATCTGCATTTTTCACATTCATTCCTCTGCACTCGACCGCTCACATACATTTCCAAACATCAACTGATTTCCTATCCTCTCTCGCATCAAAGGTTCATTTCAATCTCATGCTTTCCACTTACCATAATTCATAAAAACACATTATTTATCTGCGTCCCTCACTTCCTATGATCTTCTGACCTTCTATATCATCAGTTATGCTATCCGGGGTTCCCCGGGTTTCCCATCATTCAGCATTCCGACAGCCAGCTGTTCCCAGATAAAGGTAGTCACATAGCACCAGTCTCAACTGAGTAATGGGGGGAGGGGGTGCTGCGTGTGGACCCCACGACTGTAGTGTGAGCTTCTGTGTGTGGGCTGACATGTGGTTTCCTGACGTGTCCCTGTAGGTTAAGCGCTTAACAGAAGTTGGCTGTTAATTCCAAGACCAGTTTGTCATGAATAGTCTAATTTCTTGCTTGTTTGTTCTTTCTGCAGTGTCTGTAGACTGCTCAGATGTTGGTGAGCATGAAGCTGAAAGCTGGAAGGACACTGACACCCAAGGTGATAATGGGGGTGACAGTCGGAGGGACACTGACACCCAAGGTGAAAGTCAGCGGGACACTGACACCCAAGGTGATAATGGGGGTGACAGTCGGGGGGACACTGACACCCAAGGTGAAAGTCAGAGGGACACTGACGCCCAAGGTGATAATGGGGGTGAAAGTCGGAGGGACACTGACACCCAGGTTGATAATGGGGGTGACAGTCGGAGGGACACTCACACCCGCGGTGATGCTGGAGAAGTGCACTTTTTCCCTCCTCTCTACATACAGAGATATACTTTTGCCTTGACCTGTTTAACACAGCACAGTGTTAAAAGTGTAGGTATAGCTTGTCTGTGTGTGGGTATAGCGTGTCTGTGTGTGGGTATAGCTTGTCTGTGTGTGGGTATAGCTTGTCTGTGTGTGGGTGGTTGTCATATGTCGTATCTGTATCATTACATCCACAGCATAACATTGTATTGTGATATCTGTGTTATGTTTTCTGTATTAATACATTGTATCATGACATCTGTATCATGATATCTGTATCATGAAATTGTATTGTGACATCTGTATCACGACATCCTCAGAATAACATTTGTATTGTGACATCTATGTTGTGACATATGTATTAAGACATTGTGTTGTGAAATCTATATCATAACATGGTATTATGACATCTGTATCATGTTATTGTATTGTGACCTCTGTATCATGACACTTTTTTGTGTCATCTATCATGGTGCATCCACAGCATAACATTGTATTGTGACATCTGTATTCAGACATTGTCTCGTGACATTTGTATCATGACACTGTATCCTAACATTATTGTAACATCTGTATCATGACATTGTATTGTGCCATCAGTATCATGACATTGTAACATGCCATCTGTATCATGACATTTATTCTTCTTTGTCCACCAGCTATTAGCTCTGGCAGAAAGTCCTTGTTTGTCCTTTTAGACTTTGGCTTTGTGCCAGGACCGGAGTTTCATGTGTACATACATTTTACTGGCTGATTTGTGTGCAGTTGGTTTTCCTAGCTGCTGGGACACACTCTGCCCTCGAAGGAAGCTCCCCCTATTAGTTGACTCCTACGACATGCTTGTTGGGGAGGCAGTGGGGCTATTCTTGTTTTCTCTGCAATGGAGCCAATGAAGGAATATTATGACATTGTTTTGTGGCATGTGTATTGTGACATCTGTATTGTAAGATGTGTATCATGACATCTGTATTGTGACATGCATATCATGTCATCTATATTGGGAGGTGTATCATGACATCTGTATTTTGACATGTATATTGCGACATCTGTATTGTGATATTTTTATCAGGACAACTATTATGGGATCTGTATCTTTCTGTTGAAATCCTAACTGAAGTTTGTCTGCTTGTAGGTGGTTGATTTTGGCTGTTCCGAGTGTGGCCTGATGAAATTGCTGCCAACTGTCCCCAGCCTGGAAGAAGTTGCATTGGTAGATATTGACAAGCAATTGCTGCAATCAAAGAAACATATCATTGAGCCAGAACTGCGACATTACATTTACCGCAGACAGCGGCCGCTGCATGTCAAGCTGATGGCAGGCAGTGCTGAACTCACAGATGCTCGTCTGCTCCATTATGATGCTGTCTTGTTGATTGAGGTGTAAGTTGTTACTTGTTGTCCATGCCAATATCCTAGCACCTGGGTCTGATCCATTCATGCTCCGACCTCTGATGCTGCAGCCATCTCAGTGTCTCCATGTGCAGCGTAGCCAGCAGGAGTTGATTGGCCTCTCTTCTTTCTTTGCACAGCAACCAGTTTCTGCATGCTTGTCTTCATTTAACACCCATGAGCCTGTGATTGTTGGAGAACAGAACGAGGACAGAGAACGCATGGCAATGACAGAAGAGGAATGATTCTGATTTGTATCATCTATTGATTCTGAATCTTTGTGGAACGTTGTTTCAACTGCAATAACTCAGCATATGTGAAACGTATGGACTGAAAGGTAACTGAATGTTATTGTTGAATTGTGTGCCAGCTGTGACAGTGTTCGTTTGGGAATCTGAAGTCCAGAGGCAGATGAACAACCAGAAGTTTCTGCCGGAGTTTACAACCGGTGAACACAAAGATGAAGAATACATCTGTTCATAGTAACTCTTCATCTGGACAGATGAGAGACTGATATAGAAACTAGCATCACTGCACAATGGGGGTTTGAAACAAAGGCAAACCCGGAGCTAAACGGCTGAAATATTTCAACATCAATGACAGAAACAGAACTGCAGTTTGTCATTTGTCAGGTAAGGCCCAGGGGTGATCTACGGGCAGAATATAAAGGCCATGAGAATTTCCACTTGAGTACAGCGTATGAGCTGATAGCAACTGCGTGTCCGGGTTCAGTGAGCAACAATTGTTTCCTTCCGTTTGGTGAAGAAATTGACAGCGGTCAGAACATTGCGTGAAATTATTACAAACTTTTCAGCTGACAGAGTCTCCCCGATCGCTGCAGACAACGAACATCGTTGCTCGAGAAGTGCAGTGGCAAGAGGCCAATTTCAAAAAGCCGAGTTTAAGCAGAAAGCCACAGTCTGCAAATATCTATATATAAAACATTTTAAATTGTAAGATTTTTTTAGAGGGAAATAGGATAAACTTTATTTATCATCAATTATTAATATAACATATAACAAAATTAACAAATGTTTGAAATGACTAATATAATAATTGAAAAATAATTGAAATTTATTGAAAAATGATTTTTTTTTCACAACAAAATGTGTGTAAATAGTAATAGTAAAGTAATACTTTGAAATGAGTAATTTATAAATGAAATCATGAAAAAGTATGGGAATCTGGTAAAAGCTCTTTGGTGGGGAACACATGAATACCCAATTAATATGGACATCGATGGGAGTCATCCGGTTAGTACATATGGGAAAGGTGGGACTTTGTAGAATAACATTGCTGTTTCATAGCCATTATCGACTTCCGCACAGAATTAGGGGTGTCTTGGGGTGTTGTTCTATTGTATAGGCAGACTGGGTTGGGTGAGGATATTTGCAGAGCTTATATTGGTCTTCCGCTCTGAATTAGTAGTGTCCTGGGGTGTTGATCTAATTAAGCTATATGGTGCTCTCTGGATACGACAGCTGACGATGTTGCAGATAGAATTCAAGGTGAACCTAGGTAAGGGTAAGGGAAAGGGAAAGTCTTTAACCAGCATTACTAAAGGGAAAATATCTATATTATTACATTGAAGTAATTCTTAACCACAGAATGTTAAGTTGATAACCGGAAGAAATGAAAAGTAAACTTTAAAAAAAAATGGGTGGGGACGGATGTAATGCATAGGAAATCGTAGGTCAAGAGTGTTTAGGCCGGATAAGAAAGAATCAGGGGGATTGTGAGTCTATGTGAGAAGAGAATGATTGTTGAGAATCTTATGATGAGAAAGGAAACAAGTCAAACTTGGAACAGAAGAAAGAGCATTCTGTGTGAGACGAGGAGAGGAAGCAGATGGTTGAACCGAGTGATCATTTTGCATGAACTGAATAGTTGACAATGGGAGCCAATATCTGATATGCGGACAGAAATGGCCTAGAAGCGAGGAAAGCCTGTTGATGATTGAAGTTGATAGAAAATGTTTGTTGTATATCAGTAATGACCAACACCTAGTGAATGGCAGGTACAAATTGAAACAAGGTAATATAGATTAACACATGGGTTAGTCTCTGATGCGTTCCTTGTAGTGAGAAATACTTCCTAGACAACCTACGATAGCGACCACATCGCACTAAACATTTGTGTGCGTATTCTGGTCTTCCTCTTGATGTGTCAATGATACTAACACGCTCAACTGATGTAGTACTGCAGATAGACAAGGCAAGTCATTGTTAAGTTTGTATGTGTACTGTATTCTGAAGTCTACATTTACTATATTCTGTAGTTTGTACATGTATTATGTTCTATAGTTTTAGTTTTGTACATGTGCTATATTCTGTAGTTTGTATATGTACTATGTTCTGTAGTTTGTACATGTACTGTGTACATTTGCTTTGTTCTGTAGTTTGTACATTTACTGTATTCTGTAATGTTAGTCTTGTACAATGTGCTGTATTATGTAGTTTGTATACTATGTTGTGTAGTTTGTACATGTGCTATGTTCTGTAGTTTGTAAATGTGCTATGTTCTGTAGTTTGTACATATGCTATGTATTCTCTGCAGTTTGTACATGAATGGTGTTATCCTTTTTCTGATAGGATTGAACATCTTGAAGCTGGTGTCCTAGAACGTGTGACAGACAATGTTTTTGGCAACATGAGACCCAGACTGTGTGTCGTGACCACGCCCAACTCTGAGTTCAATGTTTTGTTTAACAACGACGACCCCAAAAAGTTCCGCCACTGGGATCATAAGTTTGAGTGGAGCCGGCAGCAGTTTCAGCAGTGGTGGGTGCTTTTGGTTAATTTTCTGAACTCTCTTGTTCATGTTGGGTTTATCTAAACCTGTATTTTTTTTTGTTTAAATAAATTTACAGCACAGTTTACCAAGCAGTTGTGGGTGCAATCAGAAGTAGTGGTAGAAAATAACACCACTGGACTATCGAGTCCCCATAATTGGAATGAGTACACTTCAAACCCTTAAATCGTTGACTGCTACAATCACACGTTATGTGATCTGGCGTCACATACACCTGGCTACAACGATTGCACCCCCCCCTGTGATTGTAAATTTGGACGCAGCTTTTGCGATAAATATAGTTGAAGCCCTTAGTCCATACATTTCTCTTTGTTCTTTTAAGGAAAACAATTTGATAGTGCTCAGAGTAAATGTTCAAGGATTAGAAATGTGTGTGTGTGTGAGCTCCTATATCAATGACATGTCATGCAAATATTTTGATAATGGCAGCTTTTTTTTAGAGCCAACAGATGGAAGTTTGGGTATATTTTTGATGCTACTGGATATTTTCTTGATTGTTTTAAATAGGAAAGTGAAGGTTAATATATTTCTGAACAGTTTGATGACTGTGACTTTGATCCTTCTTACCGCCATCACAAACATGGTTGAAACTTGAAGATTTGTGCTGTGTAACATGCATGCAGGTCTCGCTGGTCACACCCACCCATTGTCTGTGATAATACTTGTGTCATTTGAAAATTCAGACGAAGCAGATGCACTAATCTACACAGACAGATCCGTTATACGTAAAAAAAGAAGTGCATGGGCATTTACAGCACGCTCAGCGGGCAGAACAGTCAAAGAAGCCAACGGCGCCTTCTCCATGACAACCAGCAGCATGACGATGGAGGTGATGGCAGTGACGCAAGCGTTTGCCTGGCTCGAAACACAAAAATACACCCGCGTATGTATACTCAGACATTCAATGAGTATTATCCGGAGGGTTCAGGCAGATTCAGTGTAAAGACAGCGGCTTGAATCATTACAGAAGTCCACTGTGCGTGAAGTCACCTTTATTTTTGTTCCGGGACACACACGTGTCGATGGAAGTGAAAGAGCTGACAGGTTGGCTGGATCCGCTGTCACTACCGACGGTCAGCCTATGGATCATGCTGATATTATTAATGCCCTCAGAGAAATGGGAAGGATAGAGGACTTTCTGGGCAATGAATCCACATCACTCACTAGAATGGCAGACTTGGGAATTAAGATCGGCATAGCAAAAAATGAGATGCACACCAGACACACCAGAAGACTTGTTAATCAACATAGAACTGGTACTATTAGCCATCGGACGTTGGGGTTCATACTAAGGGGAGGATCTGAGCACCTATGGACATGTCCGGAGTGCAATGATGATAATCCAACTAACTAACTAATACATGTGTCATTTACCTGTAACTCAATGATCTTTCATAGATTATGTGTTTGGCTTGGTGGTATCGATCACGGCAAGAGAGAAAGTCAAGGCCGTTGTGATATGTATAAGTTGCTCTGTACCTTACCTCGGGGGCTAGCCAGCTCTGGGATGGCTTTATGGCTCCTCACACAAGACTACAAGAAAGGCAAGAGACTTGCATCTCCATATTCTCTGCTACCAATCTTCACAGTCGTGCTGGGTATCAACTTGAGATCACTTCTGGTCACACATTCATCTTCAGGCATCAGGAACTTCTCCACACAATCGCCAGTTACAGTTCATAGGAGTCACACGGAACTCAACCATTCACTCTGGCTGACAAAGAGCAACTGATTCTACCTCTACTTCACCTTCAAAACCTCTCTCTCATTTCCAGGAGCTGTCCCTCTGCCACAGTTCAGTTAAACCTGTAATTTTGCGAACATTTTCCTTTTCGCTTTCTATTCACGTGACTCACCTTTGACCTTACGTTGTGATATGGAAACCCTTTGGGAAATCCCCTCATTACACATAGGTGAAAACGCCTATCAAATCTTATTTTGAACAAGGGTAAAGTCCGCTAGCCGAATTAAATGACAGCCCTCCGTTGAAATGTCGAGTGGAAAGACCTATTGTACTGCTAAGACTCAGCCCTAAACCAGGAGATTTGCGCGCAGCCAAGACGAGCAACATCTCTTGCAGGCAGTAACTTGCTGAACAGTCTTGTCTCTGTACAACCCTTGCTGTTGCTCAACATCGTAGACACAGCTTAGAGGTACTCCATGACAACCTGTCAGTGTTCATTTGCTCGTTTGGCATAAATGTCTGTCTGATACATGCCCTGTGGCACAGAAACAAACTCCCCAATGTCTGACTGGAAAAAAAAGGCTTACTAATTGGTAGGAAGGTTCACATGCACCTTACTGCTGGCCCCACTCTCCAGATTGTGTGACCTACAAGGGGGAACCAAGCTGATAAAGCTTTTGCTGTACAGTCTGTCCCATACTACCGTATTTATGGTGTAAGAAAAGGAAAGTGCTCTAAACAAAGAGATAGTACTATACTATGGCTAAGCTACATTAAAATCATCGCAGCTACAGTCTGTAAATAACTGTACAAAGTGAATAGTAAATAGTGTGTGTGTTATGACTCATTTTTCTGCAATTTTTTCTCTGAAATTTTGCTTAGCACTCGGTGGGAACTAAGAGCCCCTGAGTGATAAACTAACCCAGAAAGTTATCATAACTTTAGAATATGTTAGGAAATTGAACAAACTGTGAAGTTTTGTTCTCAAATTTGTATATTTACTATTCTTGTGTCTGCAAAACCATGGTAAGTGTAGATTTTTTTTGTGAAATGTTGCTCTTGTGAAATCAACATCTACTGAATTCTTCTTTTCCACTAACTATAACAAAATCAAACAAACATCATCAGATTCAAAAAGTACATTCATTTCTCTTTTTAAAAATATATACTTTTATAGGGATTAGAAGTATATTACAATCTCTACAGCCTTTCTTGTACACCCACCCCTCTGCCATTTTTGTAAAGGGAAATTAATGTGGGCCAAGTCTGTCAAAATTCATGGGCCTGAAAGAGTTAAAGGTGTTTAGTGCACTGTCTGGCCAAGTTTCCAGATGAAACAAAGTCAAAGGTGTTTAGCGTACAGTCTGGCCAAGTTTCCAGATGAAACAAAGTTAAAGGTGTTTAGCGTACTGTCTGGCCAAGTTTCCAGATGAAACAAAGTTAAAGGTGTTTAGTGCACCCAAAGAAAAGCGTGTCTATTTGTGTGGCTATCAAAGTCCCAGACCTATGGGCTGATCTCTGGCATGTTACGATTGGAGAGCTGAACATATGAATGTGATATTAAGTAGTCATTTGCAGGACCAAAGCCTCATGTGTCAGCTTTGCATTTATGGAAGCCGCCTTGGATGTCGGTGGATGCCCTGGACAGGGTCTCCCTGGGAAACATATGTAGATAAGGGAGACAGAGAGAACTCCACACAAACAAGGCCACAACATGTCCCTCAGGAAATTAACGCTGTCAAAAATGATGAAGTCATATGTGTCCGCTGAAAGGCACAAATATTGCAACTCTGCTATAAACGGGCACAATGCATTTACGTTACTCGGATGAACAAAAAGAAAAAGTTAATTTCTCTATCAGTTACCTGCGTAATTTATGTTTCTCTTATAATGTATGTGTCATTTACCTGTGTAACTCATGTATCTTTGGTAATGCATGTGTCATTTACCTGTGTAACTCATGTATCTTTGGTAGTGCATGTGTCATTTACCTGTGTAACTCATGTATCTTTGGTAGTGCATGTGTCATTTACCCGTGTAACTCATGTATCTTTGGTAGTGCATGCATCATTTACCCGTGTAACTCATGTATCTTTGGTAGTGCATGTGTCATTTACCTGTGTAACTCATGTATCTTTAGTAGTGCATGTGTCATTTACCTGTGTAACTCATGTATCTTTGGTAGTGCATGTGTCATTTACCTGTGTAACTCATGTATCTTTGGTAGTGCATGTGTCATTTACCTGTGTAACTCATGTATCTTTAGTAGTGCATGTGTCATTTACCTGTGTAACTCATGTATCTTTGGTAGTGCATGTGTCATTTACCTGTGTAACTCATGTATCTTTGGTAGTGCATGTGTCATTTACCTGTGTAACTCATTATCTTTGGTAGTGCATGTGTCATTTACCTGTGTAACTCATGTATCTTTAGTAGTGCATGTGTCATTTACCTGTGTAACTCATGTATCTTTAGTAATGCATGTGTCATTTACCTGTGTAACTCATGTATCTTTGGTAGTGCATGCATCATTTACCTGTGTAACTCATGTATCTTTGGTAGTGCATGTGTCATTTACCCGTGTAACTCATGTATCTTTGGTAGTGCATGTGTCATTTACCCGTGTAACTCATGTATCTTTGGTAGTGCATGTGTCATTTACCCGTGTAACTCATGTATCTTTGGTAGTGCATGCATCATTTACCTGTGTAACTCATGTATCTTTGGTAGTGCATGTGTCATTTACCTGTGTAACTCATGTATCTTTGGTAGTGCATGTGTCATTTACCCGTGTAACTCATGTATCTTTGGTAGTGCATGCATCATTTACCTGTGTAACTCATGTATCTTTGGTAGTGCATGTGTCATTTACCTGTGTAACTCATGTATCTTTGGTAGTGCATGTGTCATTTACCCGTGTAACTCATGTATCTTTGGTAGTGCATGTGTCATTTACCCGTGTAACTCATGTATCTTTGACCGACGCCTTCGAAAATTACAGGCCCTGAAACTCGACTGGTGACGTCACTTCCCGAGGCAAACAAAATGGATGTATCAGTGTGTATTCAGTTTTATTTTTCTTGTGAAAGTTTTTAATGTGGTTCAATTTTCACGTCTGATTCACCTATAAGCGGTATTTCAGGGAGTAGATTTAGTAAGCAATTTCTGCAATTTACGTTGGATTTATCGTCAGTGTGTTGGTTTTCGAGGAAATATGCCTGCGAAATGTTCTGTACCCGAGTGTCGTTCAAATTATGACTTTTCTAGTGGATATGTAAGTTGCTTCAAATTCCCTTCGAATTCTTTTTTAAGAGACAAATAGCTGAAACATATTCCACGGAAAAATTGGACTCCTGGGAAAACCAGTGTAGTATGTATAAAACATTTTCGTACGTCAGATATTATTGTGTCTGATAAATATACAGACAAATCAGGAATCGAGCATATACTTCCAAGAAAGAATCCCGCTTTAAAAAAAGATGCTTATCCAACTATTTTTCCAGATCTTCCATCCTATTTATCGGTGAAAGTACCTGCCTCTCGCAAAACTCCAGAGGAACGTGTATCACATATTAATCGTAATTATGATCAAAAAGTCAATGATTGGCTGTCCTCAGATATTATTACAGATTTCCAAGATCTGGAGTCACAGATAGGAAACAAACTGAAAGGACACTTTGAAAAAAGTTGGAAATACACTTCTGTAGATGGAGCTTTAGCATGTATTGTTTTGTATGTCATTACCATACAGTCAGACTCTGCACCATCCATAGGTGTCAGCATAAAGGTGTTACTTGATATGACTATACAAGTCTTTGTTCAAAATAAAAAAGTTAAGGACAAAGACCTTAAATGGATTGTAGACAACAATAAACTTGTGAGATGGTCACAGCTGGAAAATCTTGTAATTCATTACAATGCCTGGGATTATAGTAAAATTCAAAGCCAAAATAGCTTCACAGATTTAGTGGGAGAAGCAGGAAGTATTTTGAAGAGTGCTGCAGAGCAACAGTGGACTCCTAATGGGACAGCTGATGAAGTAACTGACACACAAGTAAACTTTCTTGCAGAGCAGCTGCAACTTTTAACCGTGTTAAAAAACAGAAGGCGTTACAGTTGTTGCACATTATGTTTCGCTTTCATGCTGTTCATTAAATCTCCAGCATGCTACCGGTTTATAAGAAAATCTCGTATGTTGTGCCTGCCTCATCAAAGAACACTGCACAATTTAACTTCACAGTTGTCATTGTCTACTCATACTGGCAGCATTTCACAGTACTTGAAATTGAAACAAGACAAACTGACAGAGCTAGAAAAGATTGTAGTGGTTCAGATGGATGAAATAAATGTTAAATCTGCAATTACTTACTCTGGGGGCAAAATATTTGGCAATGCAGACAATGCAAAAGAAGCAGCAACAACAGTGCAGGCTTTCCTCATATCTTCAGTTTTTGGAAGCTACCAGGAAATTATAGAGCTTTCACCTGTGAACAGAATGACATCTCAGGATCTACGTTTGAAATTACTCCACTGTATCCACTTTGTACAGGAGTGTGGTTTCACAGTAGTTGCTGTAATTGCAGATAATAGTGCTGTCAATCGCAGAGTTTACAGTGTTCTCCTGAAACCAAGCCAAACTTTTATTGAGAACCCAGATTTTGCTAATAAAAAAATATTTTTACTGCATGATTCTGTGCACTTGCTAAAATGCATGTGGAGGAACTGGATCAACCAGAAGGACACAAACCAGACATTTACTTATCCTTTAATAACTGGACAAATGCTAAACGCCTGTGATACTGATAGAGCTGCAGAAGCTAACTTTTCTCATTTAAAGAAATTGTATTATAGTGAGTAAAAGAATATTGCAAAACTGGCACCTAAACTTTCCCACAAAGCCATCTATCCCTCCAGCATGGACAGACAGAATGTTCCTCTTGCTTTGGCAATTTTTAATGAATACAATGTTGCTGCTCTGCGTCTAGTAGGCAGTAATGAAACAGCAGATTTTATTGAAGCCATCCTTAGATGGTGGCATATTGTTAATGTGAAAAGTAAATTTGTAGGTAAAAAGACACTGAACTCATTCTCAAATCCTGTATTGTCAAATGATGATGAACAAGTGCATTATCTTGAACAGTTTGCTGAATGGCTAAGAAAGTGGGACAAGCTGCCTGGCTGTCAAGGAAAACTGACCAAGGAAACACAAAGTGCACTGCTGCATACAGTGACTGCAGTGCTTTCTCTAATCAAATATCTATTTGCAACAACAGAAGCCAGTTTTATACTTCTTGGAAAGTTACAGACTGACAACTTAGAAGCTCGGTTTGGTGAATATCGGCAGTTGTCAGGAGCAAACTACCTAGTATCTGTGCAGCAAGTTTTAGAAGCAGAAAAGAAACCTAAAGTTTACTCACTGTTAAGTATGTCCTCATCGACTTATGGAGATTTTCCTATCCGTGACCTCTCAGAATTTCTTAGCAGCAAAGAAGATGAAACTGGGGATGACATAATTACTGATGCTGTTCAGCTGGACGTGAACAAGGTTTTTTTTTCAAATAAACCCAAATGACTGTGAATTGTTGGTTTCGGAAGGTTCAGAGGAGTCACTGGTGTATATTTCTGGATTTGTCTCAAGTAAGCTGAACAAAAAAATTAGGTGTGCTGCCTGCAAGACTTTATTGCAGATGGACAGGCCATTATCAAATGATGTTGACTCAGGTGCAATGTCAACTGACTATATACAGCTGCTTGACCGTGGAGGTTTGAAATACCCTTCAAAATAGCCTTCAAAATTTATAAGTTTAATAACATTTGTCACATATGCAGCTATGCAGAAGCTTATATCAGCTGAGTTGGAAACACAATTTCTAGCCTGCAAACATCTCAAAATATTGCTTATGCATATTGTTTCATGCAGTTTACAAACATATTTCAAGGATGAAATAGGTGGTGTCTGTGCTGAGGGTTGTTCTAAAATAAACATTGCTTCCAAAGCGCTGCCATCTCTGGCAAATGTTTTCCTAAATAACTACCGCAAAATCAAAACCGACACATCCTTGCTGGATAAATCATCTAAGAAAAGAAAACTGGCCAAATTCACCCAGTAATGGATTTCACGGATTATGTAACTTCAATTTGGACAGCTACATGGTAAGTAGTTTCTGTTGTGCTTTTAGTTTCTATGTCATATTGTGAATATGTCAGTAGTTTCTGTTGTGTTTTGTTTCCATGTCTTATTGTCAATACCTATATCCAGGGCTGTTCAACTAAGTCAATTTAGGTTAACTCAGAAGCCAACATTGTAAAATTAGGGATCGTTATGGGCCAGCAGTCCGAGTCCCAGCTTAGAAAAAGCATTATTTCATTGCAACCAGCAGTGATCGGCGGGCCACTCGCTAGGCCTCAGCGGGCCAAATTTGGTCCGCGGGCTGACTGTTGAATAGCCATGAGCTTACTGCTATACTTTTTGTGGGCTAGTACTCAGAGGACGGCCGGGAACAAAAAAAAAAACAGGTACCGTCTGAGTGAAAAAGTAACATAACGTTAGCCAGCGGCGGTGACGTCACGTCCCGCTGATGACGTCAGTAGCTAGGCCTAGTAACTAAAGTTTTGCCATGCTTTGACCATGCATGTAATATTTACCTGTGTAACATATATATCACAGATCTGTGATAATACCTGTATCTGTGATAATACCAGTATCTTTTACCAGGTATCATCCTGTTTGTCACAGATACAGGTATTTAGGTTTGAGATGATTCTCTGCCAGGTGTCAGCAAGTTTGTCACAAGTATTGCTACCTCGTGGAGTATTCAGGTGTAGGCAGCTTGCCCTCCCGGCCACACAGTGACGGTCTTGGGCCCTGTAGCCAGGCAGCCATCTTTACTCGACAGCAACAGACAGTTTCCCACAAGTCCTTGCCCCAGAATGCACTCTGCTATGAATTGGTAAGCTTTGTTTGTGTGTGTGTTTGTGCAAGCACATACATTATGTGAGTAATGAGTAGTAACCTAATTGTAGTGACTGTGTGCTGATTGTAGTGACTGTGTACTGCTTGTAGTGATTGTGTGCTGCTTGTAGTGATTGTGTGCTGCTTGTAGTGATTGTGTGCTGCTTGTAGTTAATATGTGCTGCTTGTAGTGAATGTGTGCTACTTGTAGTGACTGTGTGTTGCTTGTAGTTAATATGTGTTGCTTGTAGTGACTGTGTGCTGCTTGTAGTGACTATGTGCTGCTTGTAGTTAATATGTGCTGCTTGTAGTTAATATGTGCTGCTTGAAGTGACTGTGCTGCTTGTAGTGACTGTGTGCTGCTTGTAGTGACTGTGTGCTGCTTGAAGTGACTGTGCTGCTTGTAGTGACTGTGTGCTGCTTGTAGTGACTGTGCTGCTTGTAGTGACTGTGTGCTGCTTGTAGTGACTGTGTGCTGCTTGTAGTGACTGTGTGCTGCTTGTAGTGACTGTGTGCTGCTTGTAGTGACTGTGTGCTGCTTGTAGTTAATATGTGCTGCCTGTAGTGACTGTGTGCTGCTTGTAGTTAATATGTGCTGCTTGTAGTTAATATGTGCTGCCTGTAGTGACTGTGTGCTGCTTGTAGTTAATATGTGCTGCTTGTAGTTAATATGTGCTGCCTGTAGTGACTGTGTGCTGCTTGTAGTTAATATGTGCTGCTTGTAGTGACTGTGTGCTGCTTGTAGTGACTGTGTGCTGCTTGTAGTGACTGTGTGCTGCCTGTAGTGACTGTGTGCTGCTTGTAGTGACTGTGCTGCTTGTAGTGACTGTGTGTTGCTTGTAGTGACTGTGTGTTGCTTGTAGTTAATATGTGTTGCTTGTAGTGACTATGTGCTGCTTGTAGTTAATATGTGCTGCTTGTAGTTAATATGTGCTGCTTGAAGTGACTGTGCTGCTTGTAGTGACTGTGTGCTGCTTGTAGTGACTGTGTGCTGCTTGTAGTGACTGTGTGCTGCTTGTAGTGACTGTGCTGCTTGTAGTGACTGTGTGCTGCTTGTAGTGACTGTGTGCTGCTTGTAGTGACTGTCTGCTGCCTGTAGTGACTGTGTGCTGCCTGTAGTGACTGTGTGCTGCTTGTAGTGACTGTGTGCTGCTTGTAGTGACTGTGTGCTGCTTGTAGTGACTGTATGCTGCTTGTAGTGACTGTATGCTGCTTGTAGTGACTGTGTGTTGCTTGAAGTTAATATGTGCTGCTTGTAGTGATTGTGTGTTGCTTGTAGTTAATATGTGCTGCTTGTAGTGACTGTGTGCTGCTTGTAGTGACTGTGTGCTGCTTGTAGTGACTGTGTGTTGCCTGTAGTGACTGTGTGTTGCCTGTAGTGACTGTGTGTTGCTTGTAGTGACTGTGTGTTGTCTGTAGTGACTGTGTGCTGCTTGTAGTGACTGTGTGTTGCTTGTAGTGACTGTGTGTTGCCTGTAGTGACTGTGTGCTGCCTGTAGTGACTGTGTGCTGCTTGTAGTGACTGTGTTCTGCTTGTAGTGACTGTGTGCTGATTGTAGTGACTGTGCTGCATGTAGTGACTGTGTGCTGCCTGTAGTGACTGTGTGCTGCCTGTAGTGACTGTGTGCTGCTTATAGTGACTGTGTGTTGCTTGTAGTGACTGTGTGCTGAATGTAGTGACTGTGTGCTGATTGTAGTGACTAGGTGCTGCTTGTAGTGACTGTGTGTTGCTTGTAGTTAATATGTGCTACTCAGTGTCTGGTTGGCTAGTTTACTCAGTGTGTGGTTGGCTAGTTTATTCAATTTGTGGTTTGCTAGTTAACTCAGTGTTGTGTTACTAAGTTCACCCAGTGTGTGATGTTGGCTAGTTCACTCAGTGTGTGATGTTGGCTAGTTTACTCAGTGTGTGATGTTGGCTAGTTTACTCAGTGTGTGATGTTGGCTAGTTCACTCAGTGTGTGATGTTGGCTAGTTTACGCAATTTTTGGTTGGCTAGTTTACTCAGTGTGCCCCTGGCTAGTTTACTCAATGTGCCCCTGGCTAGTTTACTCAATGGGGTGCTGGCTAGTTTTCCCAGTCAGTGTGTGATTGGCTAGTTTACTTAGTGTATGATTGGCTAGTTTACTCAGTGTATGGTTGGCTAGTTTACTCAGATGTGATTGGCTAGTTTACTCAGTGTGTGATTGGCTAGCTTACTCAGTGTATGATTGGCTAGTTTACTCAGTGTATGACTGGCTAGTTTACTCAGTGTATGATTGGCTAGTTTACTCAGTGTATGATAGGCTAGTTTATTCAGTGTCCGATTGGCTAGTTTACTCAATGTGCCCCTGGCTAGTTTACTCAGTGTGTGGTTGGCTAGTTTACTTGGTGTGCGGTTGGCTAGTTTACTCAATGTGTGATTGGCTCATTTACTTAGTGTGTGGTTGGCTAGTTTACTTGGTGTGCGGTTGGCTAGTTTACTCAATGTGTGATTGGCTCATTTACTCAGTGTGTGGTTGGCTAGTTTACTCAATGTGTGATTGGCTAGTTTACTCAGTGTCTGATTGGCTAGTTTACTCAGTGGGTGTGGTAGGCTAATTTACTCAGTGTGTGTAGTTGGTTGATTTACTTAATGTGTGGTTGACTAGTTTATTCAAAATAACATAATGACTGATATCTGACTGCAGATATCATATGGACTGATAAAAACATGATAATAAGATGATAAATAATGTCTGCAGATTGCGGAGTCAGATTTTCCGTTTGAGAAGGATATCTTATCACTGGAGGAGAAAATAGATTTTGAGGTGTCGTACTGCCTACGTCAGATGTTTGTTTCATGTAGGGATTCTGTGAGTATAGGCCAGCCCGTTGAGATACGCATCGCTGACCTGGCCAAATTGTACACTGTGAGAAATTTATGTGACGAAGCAGGTGTCCGGTGAGTGCCAACGTTTGACAGACAGGTTTTTGTATTAGATGATTTAATGTCTACTTGCATGTGTTTCATTGACCAAACGTGGATGATTTAATATCTACTTACATGGGTTTGACTTCTAGAAGGCCAGCTGTCAATTTAATCAGTATGTTTAGGTGTGGAACCTTCTGATGCAATTGAGACACAATTAGAAAGAAGAGGAACCAGTCACATTTAGCCTCACAGACAGTCACAAGAGAGGAGACATGAAATGAGACTTTGAACTACAAAAAAGACGCACAAGAGACATGGTCAACAGAAAACATTTAATAGAAATATTATTAAAATGTTAAAGTAGACGATCAAGCTGTCAGTACCAGACAGCACTAGAAGCCAGGTGGCAGTTACAGACACTAGAACAAGTTAACAAAGTAACCAGAGATAAAGTTCACCATGCGACCTCAAGAGTGTGTAACTAGAGAGAGAAATCAGCTTATGTTATTCATCATATTATTGTTGTATTACAATAAAGACATTATAGAAAAGAAGAGTTGTCTCAAGACATTGTATTATAGGAGCATTAGTGACGTGAGAAGCATGTAGCAAGCATGAAAGACCATCATCATCACCACTATCCAAACGACCATCTTTCTCTGTATTCTTCAATTGACTCCTCCTGTAGCAAATAAAAGAGGAACCTGGGTGTGACGTCAGCGTACACCAGGAAGGGGACTGTGCTACAACAGGTTCATCAGTCAGTCAACGTGGGCAACCTTCCTCTCATACGGTCAAACACAAACTGACTCATCTGTCTCTCACTTTAAACCTTCCTCCCATTTCCATGGGTGTTCACATTTCAAAATTTCAGCTAAATACAGAATTTGCAAGTATTCCCCGCTTGGGTTCTACTCACCCAACTTCCCCTTGACCCTCTTACGTCATATCGTTTTATGACATCCCATCGTTAAAGTGGAGTATTTACAGTTCCAGTGTTGTATGTTTATAGTTACATTGTGGGGTGTTTACAGTTCCAGTGATGTATGTTTATAGTTATATTGTGGTGTGATTACAGTTGCAGTGTGGTATGTTTTATAGTTATATTGTGGTGTGTTTACAGTTCCAGTGTGATAATGTTTATAGTTATATTGTGGGGTGTTTACAGTTGTAGTGTGGTATGTTTATAGTTATATTGTGGGGTGTTTACAGTTCCAGTGTTGTATGTTTATAGTTATATTATGGGGTGTTTACAGTTCCAGTGTTGTATGTTTATAGTTATATTGTGGGGTGTTTACAGTTCCAGTGTTGTATGTTTATAGTTATATTGTGGGGTGTTTACAGTTCCAGTGTTGTATGTTTATAGTTATATTGTGGTGTGTTTACAGTTCCAGTGTTGTATGTTTATAGTTTATATTGTGGTGTGATTACAGTTCCAGTGTTGTATGTTTATAGTTATATTGTGGTGTGTTTACAGTTCCAGTGTTGTATGTTTATAGTTTATATTGTGGTGTGATTACAGTTCCAGTGTTGTATGTTTATAGTTATATTGTGGTGTGATTACAGTTCCAGTGTTGTATGTTTATAGTTGCCAGTGTTGTTTGTTTATGGTGCCATTGTTGTGTTTATGGGGCCATTGTTGTGTTTATTGTTACTATTGTTGTGCATTTATAGTGCCATTGTTGTGTTTATGGTACCATTGTTGTGCATTTTTGGTGTCAGTGCTGTGTGTTTATGGTGACTGTTGAGTGTTTATAGTTACACTGTTGTGTGTTTAAAGTTATATTGTGGTGTGTTTACAGTTCCAGTGTTGTATGTTTATAGTTTATATTGTGGTGTGATTACAGTTCCAGTGTTGTATGTTTATAGTTATATTGTGGTGTGATTACAGTTCCAGTGTTGTATGTTTATAGTTGCCAGTGTTGTTTGTTTATGGTACCATTGTTGTGTTTATGGTGCCATTGCTGTGTTTATTGTTACTATTGTTGTGCATTTATAGTGCCATTGTTGTGTTTATGGTACCATTGTTGTGCATTTAGGGTGCAATTGTGCATTTATGGTGTCAGTGCTGTGTGTTTATGGTGACTGTTGAGTGTTTATAGTTACAGTGTTGTGTGTTTAAAGTGACAGTGTTGTTTATTTGTAGTGACAGCATTGTACATTTATAGTGACAGTGTTGAATGTTTATAGTCACAGTGTTGTGTGTTTATAGTCACATTGTTGTGTGTTTATAGTCACAGTGTTGTGTGTTTATAGTCACAGTGTTGTGTGTTTATTGTCACAGTGTTGCGTGTTTATTGTCACAGTGTTGTGTGTTTATAGTCACAGTTTTGTGTGTTTATTGTCACATTGTTGTGTGTTTATAGTCACAGTGTTGTGTGTTTATAGTCACAGTGTTGTGTGTTTATAGTCACCGTGTTGTGTGTTTATAGTCAGTGTTGTGTGTTTATAGTCACAGTGTTGTGTGTTTATAGTCAGTGTTGTGTGTTTATAGTCACAGTGTTGTGTGTTTATTGTCACCGTGTTGTGTGTTTATTGTCACAGTGTTGTTTGTTTATTGTCACAGTGTTGTGTGTATATTGTCACAGTGTTGTGTGTTTATTGTCACAGTGTTGTTTGTTTATAGTCACAGTGTTGTTTGTTTATAGTAATAGTGTTGTGTTTTAGTGCCATTGTTGTATACTTGCAGAGAAAGTCTCCACAGATGCCACCAGCAACTTTCTCTTGATGGTCTGTGTGTTGTCCTGGATGCTGACGACAGTGACAATGAGGATGATGACAGTGGTGGCTGGCTTGTGGATTAGAGCAATAGTAATGATATTGATTACACATGTAGTCAGCTGTCAGAATGTCATGTACATGTAGGTCACCGTGAATCACCTGGGGGGCACCTGTCAGTTACATGTAGGTCACAGCAAGTTACCTGGGGACAACTGTCAGTTACATGTAGGTTACCACAAGTTACCTGGGGTTAACTGTTTGTTACATGTAGGTCACCATGAGTCACATGGTAACAACTGTCATCACATGTATGTCACCTGGGGAGAACTGTCAGTTACATGTAGGTTACCACATGTTACCTGGGGACAACTATCATTACATGTAGGTCACCACAGGTCACGTGAGGACAACTGTCAGTTACCTGTATGTCACCATTGGACAACTGTCAATTACATGTAGGTCACCTGGGGATAACTGTCAGTTACATGTTAAAAGTTAGTTGTGTATCATTTACAGGACATTGCAGAACGAACACCAGCATTGTATGGCTGTCAGTTACATGTAGGTCACCATAATTTGCCAGGGGCTAACTGTCAGTTACATGTAGGTCACCATAATTTGCCAGGGGCTGTCAGTTACATGTCAGTCCCCATAAGTCACCTGGCAACAACTGTCAGTTACGTGTAGATCTTCATGAGGCACCTGGCAAAAGGTGCTCATAGTCCTGGTTATGTTTTACTTGGTTCGGTGTTGTAATAATAATAATTTTTTCACGACAATGGGAGTAAAATAAAGATGGATAGATTTATATTTTTGATAGACCCATTAATTGTGGCCAACATGAACCATTTGTTGTGTCAGAGATATAAAAGCCACACTGGCTGGCTGGGTGCCCGTACAAACTTTAGGCAAGCAACTGTGGACACAAGTTCTGGAGAAGACTAGAAGTGGACGAATAATACATTTTTACCAAAGTTTACAGCTGGTGGAAACGAAGAAGAAGAGCAGAAAAGACTTAAGTGGGAGAGTAATAAGACAAAATAGGAAAAGAAGAAGGAGGAGGGGCAATAAGACAGTTGGAGGAAAAGACATGCAGAGGATGATGAAGGAAGACTGTCACAATTCTAAGTTTCTTGTGTGTGGAATGGGGCAGAAGCACTGAGAATTTGTAAGTTGGTTTAATTAGTGCTGTGAGTTGCCATTGTGGGTTATCATTGGTCAGTTGAGGTGTGGAGATAAAGTTACACATGTCCTGCTTGTTACTGGTACTGTCCGGTCACTTGGGTGAATTATCTGTTGTGTGTATACACATTTGTGTATGCTTCTTTAGAAAGGGACAGTATTTATTTGAAGGAAATAGGCTGTTTTTCCCTTAGTATACCGAAGAAGGTACTGAAGAAAAAGAAAGACCAAACTGTTAATAAAATAATTATGAACTTACCGGTATAAAGAATTTCCACCAGCCCAAACAGTTCCTGAGTGGTGCCTTTTCCTCTTGTACAAAAGTTTTGGCAACCTGTGGTCTTTACCAAATTGACTGGTCACTCAAGGAAGGGGTGTGATAGCAAACAATTCCTGAGTGGCGCCTCTTCCTCTTGTACAAAAGTTTTGGCAACCTGTGGTCTCTACCAAATTGACTGGTCACTCAAGGAAGGAGTGTGATAGCAAACAGTTCCTGAGTGGAACTCTTCCTCTTGTGGAAAGGTTCTGGCAACCTGCGGTCTCTACCAAAATGGCTGATCACTCAAGGAAGGGGTGTGATAGCAAACTGTGACTTTATGTGGCTTTTTTTAAAAAAGACTTTCTGTGGTGTATAAAAAGGATGAAACCAGACAGGATACGTTGCTAATGTGGCTTAAAGCTTGCTTTGTGCAGAATCAACAAGACAAAATCTAATGATTTATTATTTGGCGATTGACATATTATTCTACACTAGGGCTGGCTTGTGTACAATTCAGATTTTGTGCATGTATAGTGCTTACTTATTTCTGCAAGGAAGAAGAAAAAGGAAATCAAGACAGCCTTTACTTTTCGCATCTTTTGGTGGGCTTTTTGGTGTGCTGTTGATATATTCTGGTAACTGCATTCAGAGAGGGCCGGCTTACCACTGTCCTATAAACTGCATGGTTGAAGAAGATCGCATATTGCTGTCTAGCTGTACGCCGCCTGTAAACATAGCTCAGTCATTACATTGCGGCAACTCATGTTGAGAAATAGTTTCCCTCCCCCTCCCTCCCCCCCCTCCATCATCAGGCATGGCACTTGATGATAACGTTGCTTGCTGCCTAACTGCCCCTCTCATATTATAGAAGGCGACCAGTTAAGAGGCATCCCTGTAAATGTGTTTGCATAACTTATGGAAAACCAAATAAATAAAATTGCAATCAGAGTGATCATATGCCCATGGTAATCAGTTGTACAGGAGAAGGTTTTTTTTTTTTTTTTAAATACCGAAACTCATAAAAAGTAATATTTCATGCACTAGAAGAATCATTGTCTTTTCTTTCCTTGTCCTGTTTTTGCGGTACATGTGAAACTGCTTATAGTACCATATGTAATGATGCTATAAATAGGGAGAACGTCAGGGCATGTCTGAGTGACAGAATTGGGGAAAGTCCCTGGTGAGAGAATCATGTGGAAATTGCTGATTGACAGAACTGGGAAAGTCCCTAGTGTGAGAAGCATGGGTTTCACGGGGAGGTGGTAAAAAGACAAGAATTGAGCAATTCACTTGTGAATGCTAGATCTGGCTGATGAGGTAGTCAGTCAGTGACTGGGCCCCCAGAGAGTTTGAGTGGAATTAGAGTGTTCGGAATGAAAGTGTCATCGACTTGAAATGAGGTGGAACTTGATTTTGGTATGGCCGTGAACAACCTGTGGTAAATCAACATTGAATAATATCTGAGGACAATGGCATTGTCTGATTAACTGTGGCTGGTACTGACTTTGTGTAGGTCAGAGTTAATGTGGCGTGGCTGTGTGTCCAAATGTGAGAGCAACTGATTCTTGACTGGAGAGCGTATGTTAGATTGTCATATTGATTCTTGTGGGATATTTGATGGAATAACCCTGTAACTGGTCATCGTCATCATTATCATCTGGAGTAATATGATCATTGATGGAAGATAGTCTGCCTCGTCTATTCTACATTCGTGACCCCTAGACAACGATCTGGGTCGAATGAGTACGAGTGGAAGCAAGTACGAGAAAGACCCAGGAAAAAAATGACACTTCTTTATAGAAACATCTTCATACTAGGAGGAAAGTGACTTCTTTACAATGGGAGCATTGTCCTGTCTGGATTTTACAATGGGAATTACAGTAACGTAGAGGCAGAAGCAGTGGTGTTGTGGAGGAAATCAAAGATGAGGACGGAGCATGAATGGAAATGCACTAGCTGCTGTGATGTCAATTCTTGACTCAACTCAACTCTTTCAAATCTGGATCTTCGATATTTGGTTCATATGTTAAGATCTCTTCCTGCGGATAAGTATTTAGTGGAGTTTTACAATTTAACAATAAAACAAAGTATTCCTTCCATCTGTTACATATTTCCTCATTATTATTTACCATGTTCCCATTATGATCTATTAAACTGTATATGATGTGTTGATTACCTTGTTTTACAGTCTTCAGTTCTTTAAAAAAAAAAATTATGTGTTAGTTGTTTTGATGGTTAGCTTGGATATCCAAGAGAATATTGTTCAGCTTTTGCTGCCTAACTACTTTTGTAGCTTCTTTACTTTCTGCTCTATATGTTTCCAATGTATCTGATATTGATGTTTCTTGTAATCTTTCTCTTTCAGAACACAAGGTGCTAGCAGCAGCTGATATTGTACAAAGCCTACTTTTCCTTCTCTATCAAGGGCTTGTATTGTACTGTCAGCAAAACCCAGCTAAATAGACTGGACCGAGTACAAAATGAGGCCATGAGTCTCATACTGCGGCCGTAGACACAGAAGTAAGGGAACTGATAGATTAGCATTTAGACTCAGAAGATATCATCATCCACACAGATGGATCCGTGAACCGCGGATTAAGGTCAGCATGGGCATACACAGCGCAAAGAATGGGGGAAAACAATATAGAAGGACAGCGGCGCTTACTAGACAACTACGTCAAGAATGACCATGGAAAAAGACGCCGGTTCTAGACCATGGGTATCCGAGCAAAGCGTCACACAGGCTGTAGTTGTATCAGATTCCATAAATATGCTTCAGAAAATAGCAATAGGCGGTATGGGTAGACAGCATTCGAAAATCGCACTTAACCTCCCTCACCTGAATCTACACACCTGGTGATGCAGGGGTAAAGGGAAATGAGAGAGCGGACCAACTGGCAAGCACTGCACTAAGGCATGTTGGAAGAAGCATGGACAGAGCAGATATCGTCAACGCTTGACGGACTGGGCTAGTGGATAATGAAGAATCCCTGACACTAACACGATTGCGTAACATGGGAGTAAAGGATGGTTAAGCACGTCTATGCCGTCTTCGAGGCCAAGTTAGGAGACAATATAACCAGCTTCTTATGGGAACAATTAGTTGAAGTACTTTCGAGTGGCTGCTGCATCGAAAGACTGAGCACGCATGAGAATGCTCAATGTGCAGTGATGTCGATTGTGATAACAAAACATAACGTCTATCGTTAAAAACAGTCGTCTCAAATTTGTCAAAGCACGCAATGGGGTGGTAATCTATGATTTGATAAATACTGGTCACTACCAGTCCAAATGTCAATTACCACTTCAGTAATGGTGTGGCTAATTGAATCTTCTTAACCCCGTAACTCGCCACTAACGTTCGTCGATGACATGGCAGCAGTTTGTGATCTACTCGGTGTTGGTTCATTAAATGTCATCAATTCATGTCCTCATAGGGCGGTCTCTTTATTTCACTTCGGACCTCTCTGTGTGTAGCGTCTGCGTTGGTAGTTGTTCTGGCTGTATCAACCATTTGATCTTTTGTTTCTGAATGAATTTGCTTGATTGTGTTTTTCTTCCTTCCCTACAGTCTTTCTGATAATTTCATTTCTAACCTTGCCTCGAATGGTTAAGTTGGCGGCTTTTCTCGTGCATCTTATTTTATGGGTTCATTTTACCCAGGATAGCCTTTGATTATGTCCAAGTGTCTGGCACTAACATCAAACTGCTCGTATGAATATGCTGTTTATAATCTGTTTCTTGGCGCTCATGCTTCTGTTTGGATGTCTTATAACGGTGTCAGTTAGTATATAAGCACACTGGCTCGTTGGC